GATTTGAACCTCAAGCTCAAAACCAACTTTAAATGTATCAAATTTGATCCTTTTGGGCTAATTTTCTGGAAAACACTTGTAAACTCATAATATGACATGTTTCAAAGATCAATTTGAGAAATCAAAGCCCAAAGGTAGTTCAGTTAAACACAAATTCATTTAAAACTTCAAGAACATGATCAAACATAACATGCATGTGTTCTAATGAGTTCAAAGCTTCTAATACATGCTCCAATGAGCCAATTCCCTCAAAAACAAGATGATTTCATGATCTAAAATCAAGATATGGACATGCATGTAACAAATTCCATGAAAACAACTTCAAAACCTCAATATAAGAGCATGCATGCATGATCTAGCTCTCAATTCAACAATCTAAACCAAAACTTGACTTAGATGACTAAATTACCATGAGCCATGCAAGAATTAACTTAAATTCACAAACAAGAAGGTAAATGTTCTACCTTTGGTCTAGAATGTAAGATATACAAGCTCAAATTGCACAATTAGCCTTTAATTCTTCTAGTTCCCAAGCAAATTCTCAAATGAAGCTAAGTTTCTCCTCTCTCACTCTTTCTCCCGGTTTGGTCTCTCAAGGATGAACAAGAATGAGATGCAAGACTAAGCTTCTAACAATATTGGTGAAGTGGCCCACTAGATGGCATTTTAGTAAACAAAGCCAACTTATGTAATTCAACATTATTAAAACCAATTTAATTATACCAAATCACATTTTAATTAAACATGCCGTAAAATCACATAAATTCTAATAAGCATATATCACCAATCAATTTCGGATTTGGCCGCCGATAAAGCCTTCAATTTGCAGTTTAAACATAATACACGAACAGATAATTTAGCAGTCAAACAGATAGGCATGCATTAAACTAATACACTCAATCAATCAGTTCAGAATTTCAGTCAATCAGTCAGTTAACATGCTTAATCATAGATTAGCACTAATCAGTGGTGAGGGTTGTCACAACTACACACTTTTGTTTTCTAGCTATAATGGAGAAAATTTTCAAATTCTAAACAAGTTGTTTTCGAATTTTAATTACATGCGGTAAAAACTATAAAACTTTACAGTTTCAATTTTTTTTTTTTTTTTTTTTTTTGTAAATGAATCATTCTTTAGAATTATAAAATTTTCCAGTTTCATAACATGATTTTCAATTCGATTAATAAGGATAAATACTTAATAAAATCATACTTTGAAACTGTAGCATTTTATAGTTTCAAACCTTACTTTTCAATTTGATCAATATTGAAAATTATTTGCTTAAACCCCACAAAAATTGAAAATAACATGTGTTTTTTTTTCATTGTTACTGTTTGTTGTTCTTAGATTTTTTTTCTTCTTCTAGTTTATTAATATTTAACCAATTTTGCTATATTTTTCACTTTAATTTCTTAGTTTATTCTTTTTTTTTCGACAATATTCTAAACATTTCAGTGAATCTCCGACAATATTCTTAACTTTCAAGGAACATTTTAGACATTCCGACGACTTCCGGTGACGTTCAGAACATTTCGGCGATACTCTGGAAAATTCCCAGTGATATTCCAAAGACTCCCAAGTGATGTTGAACATTCCGACAATCTCCGATGATTGTCTAACGGAAGTCCGCCTTTAATTTTTTTTTTTAAATAAGATTTTTTTTGTAACAATTAAAAATATACTAATTGGTGCAGATGTTTTGTTTTGGAACTAGATGGATTGATTTTGTGAGACCATTCGTGTCTCGTTTGTAATCGTTTGGAAACTCTTTGGCTGATAGTGGAATCGGATTTCGATCCCGTGGACGTACCTCACATTGAGGGAACCACGTAAAATTCTTGTGTTCCTTTTGATTTAATTTTTCCGCATTAGTTTTTATTCCCATTGATTGATTTACTTGTGGGGAATCACATATTTTCCCTAACAACGATTAGGAATGGCAGCCACAAATAGGTCGCAAGTAGGTCGCGAGCAAAATGAGGTCATAGAACTTTTTCTCTACATCTTGAGTAGAGTGGTTCGGGCCCACGAAAGACACAGTCACGCTTGTGAATAAGAAGGTCGTGCCCACGATGGTGGATTTTCTTCATATATCAAGCTTCTTCTGTTTTGTCACTTATTTCCTCTATTCTAAAAATTGAGAGACTTTTCTGAGAGAGTGCTGTAGTGAGTTTAATTTGTATACTTGTCTTATGTTTACTTGATGATCCATTTATATCTTTATATCTTTCATGAAATCATCAAGTTGGTAACAAACAACTAAACAGTTTAATGAGTATTCTTGAGGTGTAAGCTCTGGAGGAGTCTAGAGCATGCTTGTCGTAGACTGGACACCGTTGTCGTGGATTCAATGGCAAAGGTGGATACCCACAAGATGAAGGATAGAGGTTGAGCTACTTGTAAGTCTCAAGCAAACTAGTGTCCCTAGATTGGTCTTTGTAAGAAATTTTTTATACTACTCTTCTTCATAGTGGATTATTCTTGTGGCCAAGAGCCCGTGGTTTTTTATCACATGTTGGTGGATTCTAACTGTGGTTTTTCTACGTAAAATATCTTTGTGTTTTGTTTGCTCTTTAACTTCTCTTTAATAGTTGATCATGATTGTTTTGGAATTCTTAAATCAATAATCACAAGATCATGGGACTTACATTTTTTTAATTGGTATCATAGTAGGACGCTTGTCCTTTGTTTTTAACAAAGCTATAGTAATGTGATCTTTTCTTCGTGATTATTGATTATGGATTTAAACCAAGGGGAAAACCTTACTCATTGTCCTCTCTTATTTGATGGAACAAACTATTCTTATTGGAAAGCGCGAATGAGAGCTTATTTAAAATTTGTTGATGAGAAAGTTTGACAATCTGTCATGAATGTTTGGAACGAACCCATGATCACTATTGAAGAAGTTACTATTCCTAAACCAATTGATAAATGGGATACAAATGACTACTCAAGTGCAAACTGGAATATCAAGGCTATCAATGCTCTCTTTAGCTTTGTCACACCCAAGGAACTCTGTCGGATTTGCACATGCGAGGTTGCTAAAGAAGCATAGGATGAAGCACAAATTTTGTTAAACGTTCTAAACTTCAAAGACTCATTTCTAGTTTTGAAACACTTATTATGAGAGATAATGAGTCTTTTGATGAATTTTATGCCAAACTAAGTGATATTGTCAATTCTAGTTTTACCTTGGGCAAGAAAATTCCTGAATTTAAGATTGTTGCAAAAGTTTTGAGATCATTACCTGATCACTTTCAACCAAAAGTTAAGCTATAAAAGAAGCTCAAAACATTGACACTGGAAAGTTGGATTAGTTGGTTGGAAATTTACAAATTTATAAGTCAAATATTCTTTCAAAGAAAAAAAAAAGATGCTTTAGCTTTCAAAAGTACTCATGAGGATGTAAATAAATATGACGTTGACGACGATCTTAAATTTGAGATGATGGCATTGTTTACTAAATAGTTCAAAAAAAAATTTGAAAAAGAAAACGTCAAATCTTGCAAAATCTGACAAAAAGAACACTAGGTCCCAAGAGGTTAAGTGCTATGAATATCATGGTTTTGGTTATATTGCTCTCGAGTGTCCTTCTAAGACAAATAGGAAAAAAGTGCTCAGTCACTTGGAATGATGAAAGTGAGTCGGACAAGGAGAAAGATGAAGGAAGGATAAGTGAGAATTCATTCATGGCCTTCCATGCAACTGTATCCACACTAAATCAAAAGGCAATTTCCATTTCCATTCACTTTATACTGTTTTCATCCTAACCAAATGTAACCTAAAACTTTTCAAAAGTGAGTTACACAATGCGAACCCACATTTTATCTTGAAGTTTTTTTTATTTTTTTATTTTAAATAGTTAATTGCTAATTAAAAAAATAAATAAATTATGTATTTTTACAACTTTGAGATAAATCAGTCACACAACAGGGCCGCCATTATCTCGTATGTCTTAATTGTTTATTTTTTGAGTAGATGGTTGATAATTAAAAATTAAAATTTTAGAATATAATGAAGTCAGACAATATCAAAATGAATCAGAAATTTTAGTTGGCTGAAATATGAATTTCAAAAAAATTTAAAATCTTAGCCAAATGAGAAATTTTTTAAGTTCCAAATCAAATGAAATTTTAGTCAAATCTCAAATCAAATATTTGACGAATCTTAGCTAAATCTCAAATCAAATGAAATTTTAGTTGGATTTCAAATGAGAAATTTTTTAAGTCTGGCGATTTTCAATAATATTGAGACCTAAATTTGTGAACTCCCAAATTAAAATTTGGAAATTTCAAATCCTAAAATTTTCCAATCAAACAAAAAAAAAAAAAAACAAAAAAAACTGAAACCCTAACCCTAACGACACTCGACGCAGTTCATACTCATCCCACCACATACAAGCATAAGAAGCACCACCACAGTACGAAGTCATCTAGTGTGGATCGATATCGCAAGTGGATGTTCTCTGATCGTGATTTTTCCAATCATAAAGGTACACAAATCTAATCTCTTTTTTGTTTTTTTTGCCCCTCATTAAAATTTCGATGAAATTTTGGTTAAAAGCTTGATTTTGATATGTTATTATCAAATTTAACTAAAGTTCAATTTGGTGAAAATAAATTGAATGCTCCAATCGTCACTTGAAGCTTCATTAAATCGTTTTTAAAAATTTCAACCTTTGTTCGCAAAAGCTTCTTTCATCAAATTTGGTGAAAACTTGATTTGATACGTGTTTGAAAATATGATTTTCACCAAAAAATTTATCAAATTTAAATTTGATAAAATATTTGGTGAAAGATTGGAGATGCTCTAATATACTAGGTTTGTTCGTGATCTTAGTAAAGGGCATGTGTCACTGTAATTATAATGCTTGTAAGAGTTGGAATTGAATTTTTTTTTTCCAACCTGAGATATAGAAGGGTGTTTATTGATTTTTTTAGTGTTTTGTGTTTGAAGAGAATGGTAATATAGGAATTTGAATTTATCCTTATCATTCGAAGAAGCGAATTTTTTTTTGAAATAATTCATGTTCCTATATGATGCAAATCTGTGCTCTCGATTCTAGCCATACCTTTTCCATTCAATCTTTAAGCGTAACTAAAGTGGTTGTAATAGAGAGAAGTTTAAGGTCCAAGCTTATAGAGAAGCATTGAATGCCTAGTTGTTTTAATCTAACTTAGTAACCCATTAACATTCTATTAAGTGTAAAAAGAAAAATAACAAACAAACAAACAAACTCAATGGCTATGTAGTTATGTGCTTTTGCTTTCAAATTCAATGTCCTTTCTTGAACAATCACTTGGAAAAAGTTTGATCCGAACAACATGCTTTAAGATAGGAGAATATTCAAAATTCTCTCCTTATTGTAGCATTTCCCACCCCTCTGGATATTTGCTTTCGCATAGCAATCAAAATGTTCATCCAGATTTATAATGCATGGTCTTTACTTCTGTTTCCCTAAAATGAAGTTGATATATTCTCCTAGGAATGTCTAGTTTTTTGTTTGTTTAGCTTGATTTTAGGGCTGGATACCAAAATTCATTGCCATCTTGCTCTCCCTAAACTTTTTCTACATTATGCAGATAAGGTTATATTTGTATCGTACAATATACTAGGTGTTGAAAATGCATCAAAGCATCCAGACTTGTACTCTAATGTTCCACCCAAATTTTTGGATTGGGACCGCCGGAAAATGCTTTTATGTAAGGAGATCAGTCAGTACAATGCAAGCATTTTGTGTTTTCAGGCAAGTTTAAGTGTCCTTTTAACCATTTCATGTACGCTTTTGTTTGGAGATTTTTTAAATGCAATATTCATTTGGCATTAAAAAATGTAGGCTTCTTATTCAGTCATGAGTAAATTTTCTCTTTTAAACAAAATTTTTTTTTTTTTCTCATTCATTTTCTTAAGAAAAATAACTGAATGTTTAAAGAATTAAAACTAGCATGATTGTTGTATTAGGTTTGAAATAGTACTTTTGGTGTTTTGGTTCTTGATATGGACCCATTAGACTTGTAGGCATGAGTTTGAATTACATTTGACATTTATGCCCTTGGAATTCCATTTTTTCAATTGATCTTTAATGAATTCATAGTTATGGCAAAAATTACGGTCTTGCCACTGAAGAAGTAGCTGTTTTAATACATGTGTGTGCTGCAAATATATTATGACATTGTTGGCACCATAAAATATTATTATTATTATTATTATTTTCAAGACACGTGGCATCCTCTTATTCATTTGGAAATTAAAAGAAGTTATAGAAATGATGGAGAATATGAAGGATAAAGTGGATGAGTGGAAGGACACATGGCAAGACAAGAATGAAGATGGAAGAAATCGGTAGTTACTAAGTAGTTATTACTGTATTTTTTCCTCTATAAATAGCCATTAATGGCTACATTGTAAAGGATCCAGAATTCATAATCAAAGACAATTGATCTCAATATTTCTTGTCATTTCTTTATCTTAGGAGTAGTTTAACATAGATTTATATTTCGAAGCATTTATTTTCAGCATTTCCATTTCGAAACATTTTATGCACTTCCTTTTCGAAGCATAGGAGTAGAGGTAAGTAATTATTACTTTGATTGTTCACTCAATCGTCTTTCTCCGTCTCCCTCATTCTTCTTTTAATTTTTTCTTTTCTCTACACTTGGCAATTCTGAAGTCCTCTTTGTTGAGGCAAAAGAACCATCAAAGCAATCGCTTAATAATTGGCTTGAATTTAATCTGTAAGGATTTTTCAATCCTTGCTGGCACGCTCGCAATTACAAAAATAACCTTCGAAAGTCAAAAAGCCAACATATATTTTTGGAACGCCCAGTGGGACGTTAAGTGTAATAAATGAAAAATGAATTGGATTTGTCCATTTCAAATAGCCTAGATGAAATTTATTGGCGTAAACAAGAAATTTTGGATCTTCAACAAGAGATCCATTTTCTTAATGAAATAAATTTTCATCCCTTACAATATTATTTGGTGGAAGAAAAAAGACACCATTTAATTGGAGAAATTCATCAACTTGATATGGAAATTCGCCAATGGAATGATGAGTTATCAACTCTCACTACCAAGTCTTTAACTAAGGCCTTAATGGCCAGAATTGGTGAATTTTTTCAGAATTTTTCCATGGTTAAAAATAGCAAAAGCAAAGAGTTGATTTCATCAATGGTTCGGGGGGTTCAAGAGTCCGTTTTTAAAGAGCCAAATTATGAAATTAACATAACGAAAGAGCATGTTCTTGAGCTAAATTTGGCTAAGAATGATGTTCCATGCATGGCTCGAGGGGTCTCACAATCAATTTTTAGAGAATCAAGTCATATATCTTTGGGTGATTTTCATAAGCCATTAATGGCTAACATAGAAAAACAACCCACTTTGTCAAATAATTATGAAAATCTATTCGGCAAAAGTCATGTTTTTAAAACAAACATGGTCAAAAATAATGAACAAGCCACTGTTCATGAATTCAAATTTTTTGACATTTTTCAAAATGTCAAAAAATATGAATTTTCATGGTCACACTATACCATGACTTTTGTTGTTCGAAATCCATTTTGGATTTGTGGATCACACCAAAATATAATTCTGATGATGTGGCTAATAAAATTAACAAATTGTTCTTATAAGTTCGAAGCACTAAGAACAAGGGATGACCATTTAAAATGCATGAACTTAGCTAGGAAAAGCCTATGCATTTAAATAAGTGGTTGGGAATGACTTATCTTTTCAAATTAATGGCCAGTTATTTGTATGTACACAATCAAAGCATCGAAGATACATTCGAAGCATCAAGAGTTGTTTCGAAGGTTGATTACTTCACCTTCGAAGCTGTATAAAGTTTTGAAGATACATTCGAAGCATCAAGAGTTGTTTCGAAGGTTGATTACTTCACCTTCGAAACTGTATAAAGCTTCGAAGATACATTTGAAGCGTCAAGCCTAACCTTGAAACTTCATTGTAAGTATCATCATCCTATATCAATGCTTCCAACCTTCGAGGGGTGATGTTGTTCCTTCAAAACTGTGCCGCAAGACCTTCGAATGATGAATTTGGTCTTTTATACCACCTTCGAAGCTTGTTATTGATCATCTAGTCATAATTTCATACTTATTCGAAGCACTTTATTAGTGCTATTATATCATTCGAAGTATTTTATTGGTGCTATTACATCATTCGAAGCATTTTATTGGTGCTATTATATCATTTGAAGCACTTTGTTGATATTATTCGAAGCATTTTATTGCTTAGATTAGTTATGTGCTTGGTTCGGCCCTTCAAAAATTCAAGTAAATATCATTTTTAAGGGCCGCGGGGGGTAATGTTGGCACCATAAAATATTTTTATTATTTTTATTTTCAAGACACGTGGCATTCTCTTATTCATTTGAAAGTTAAAAGAAGTTATAGAGATGATGGAGAATATGAATGACAAAGTGGATGAGTGGAAGGACACATGGCAAGACAAGAATGAAAATGGAAGAAATGGGTAGTTACTAAGTAGTTATTACTGTATGTTTTTCTCTGTAAATAGCCATTAATGGCTACATTGTTAAATGATCCAGAACATAAATCAAAGACAATTGATTTCAATATTTCTTGTCATTTTCCTTATCTTAGGAGTAGTTTAACATAGATTTATATTTCGAAGCATTTATTTTCAGCATTTCCATTTCGAAGCTTTTTATGCACTTCTTTTTCAAAGCATAGGAGTAGAGGTAAGTAATTATTACTTTGATTATTCACTCAATCGTCTTTCTCCGTCTCCCCCATTCTTCTTTTAATTTTTTCTTTTCTCTACACTTGGTAATTTTGAAGTCCTCTTTGTTGAGGCAAAAGAACCATCAAAGCAATCGCTTGATAATTGGCTTGAATTTAGTCTGTAAGGATTTTTCAATCCTTGCTGGCACGCTCGCAATTACAAAAATAACCTTCGAAAGCCAAAAAGCCAACAGATATATATGCAATTGTAATGTAAAGTACTCTTCTCGATTAACTTTGGAGTGTATGAAGAGGCATCTGTTGCACACATGTTTATGGGTGCAGTTGCATTCTCATCTGTACTCTTATGACTGTAGGAGGTTGACCGTTTCAATGATTTAGATAATCTTCTCCAAAAAGATGGCTTCAAAGGGATTTACCAGGTTTGTCGGTAAATTATGCATACCGTAGCTCAGTCATGTGTCATAAATTAAGGTTTTGATCAAACCAGATTCACTGGTTTTCATTTTTATGAAGGCTCGAACGGGTGAAGCATGTGATGGGTGTGCTATATTCTGGAAAAGTGAGCTGTAAGGTTTCTCATTCTCTTTGAATATTGCATGCTACTACACTGTTGCTGTAGATTTTTAAAATAGAAATGCTTTGAGCTTGTCCCACATAAACACTGCGTTTTGAAGCAGGTGTTCTTTATTATTTTTCTCAACATACCTCTTATGGTCCATTAATAAGACCTGGACTTTTTAGAAAACTTCCTCTACACCTGTTGATGAACATGCCCCTGTTAAAGCGTATTTCAGTTCATTATCTTTTGATTACCTTCTTTCAATTTAGTTTGAGTTTTGTTTCTTCACTTGCTTTCGGTTACATCATTTAATTTCTGATTTTTAGTCATATCTTGAATACAGATTTACCATTTTGCATCAAGAGAATATGGAGTTCCAGAGTTTTGGTCTTCGTAACAATGTTGCTCAATTTTGTGTTTTGAAGGTATGCACATTACAAAATGTATTGGTGTCTCTATTTTGTTTAGGTTATAATGCCAAACAAAGAACCGAATATGACAGGCTGGACATGATAAAAAAGGCTGAGGAGAAAGGAACCTCCCCATTAACTCACTTGTAGGGGTGCCAGAGTGAGAGTGCCATACTTTTTGGCCACTCCTGCTGCCTAAGAAGCATGGACACGGACACATGACACGACACGGATACGACATGGACACGCCGACACGATAATTTTCAAAAAATGTAGGACACGACACGCGGGGGACACGCATAAAATATATAATTTTATATATTTATTATATGTTATATATATGAATATATCATTCAAAAATAATAAAAAAATGCAATATGACATTAATCCCTATAAATTTATATGATTTTTGTTTTATTATTGTATCTTAAATTGTTTTGTTGAAACTTATAATTAGTTTCACATGTGTCTAATTGATAGACATGTGTATTTAAGAGATGTATACGTGTGTTTTCCAAGTGTCCAATGAGTGTCCGGGTCTTTAAAAGATAGGACACGTTATAAAGAGTGTCAGACACGTGTCGGGAAAGTGTCCAAAGAGTGTTGGTGTCCGACACGGACACGACACGACACGACACAGATACATTACCTTTTTAGAAGTGTCCGTGCTTCTTAGCCTGCTGCTAACCAGAGGGGGGTCATGCTATTTTGACCTCTTTTTAATGCCAAGCTACTGGGCCCAGGCCATTGCTAGGGTTGTAATACTAACATTGGCATGTTGTGTCTTTGAGCCACTCTTGATACATGACTGCTGCCCCAATCTATCATTGAGTTTAAAAAATTCACGGCTGTGACACCCAATTTCCAATACGTATACACCAATACCGATACTTGTCCTGATACCACGATTTCAAATCATGGTCTACAAACGAGTTTATAGTTGGACTTTGCTGATTTTAAGGGGCTCCCAATTAAGGTTTTTATAGGTTGTAAGGTCTACAAGAACTGCTACCAGACACCTAGAATTATCGTAATCTTTGAAATCCATATGAAAATCTAGAATGTACTTTCTTATGGACTTGCGATTTAGTTACACCTATTAATATGTCTTCTTATATACTCTATAAGGCCATGTTTTCTGGTACTTTGACTTTTGGTGATGTACTTTTCAACTAAGAGACATGCAGAGAAGAGTTTTAGTAAAGAGGTTTGATGCTGTTTGGTGCACACTTGGGAAGGAAGTTTTCATTGGAAAGTGCTTTTTTGGTGGCGAGCCTCTAGAAGTAAAAGTACTTTAGAGACACTTCCAAACACGCTAAGAAGCAGTTTAAAAGCCCATAAAGCTCTTCTAAGCTAATTCACCACAGCACCAAACAGGGCCAAAGAGGAGTCCCTAAGAAGTTTTAGTGTGACTCTCCAACATTAATTTTATGCTGGAACAGGTCTTGTTTTTGTTATATTTTACTGCCCCTGCCCTGAGCAAATTTTATTTTTGATTGGCCAAGGAATGGCCAGAGCAGTTTCTTCAAGCAATATACGTTATTGTCATAGTTATTATTTTGAAATCTATTGTTACTGTATGGTAGTTTAGATGTTTGATTGTTGAAAAAACCATTTATCCTTAATTGACAAGTATTTTTTGTTATAGTTCACTTAGTATTTTGCCCCTTTATTCATACAGATGAACCAAGACCGGTCAAATTCCTGTGGAGATACTCAAACAGCACGTGGAGAAGTTTTCATACATCTTGACAAGTAGATGATCTGATGCTTGTTTTTAAACTTTTTGTTTTTGTTTATTCTATTATACTTAGTTGTATGCATGGTTTGTTTTGTTGTGTTATACATGTGTGTGTGGATGTATGTTGAGTGGAAAAAGTGCTCAAGTCTTAGAACGTAAAGGCCTGGGCTTTACTTCTTTGAGACTCCTAAGCTGCATGTAGTGGCCAACAAGTTCCTCACAATACAATAGATTAAAACTTCTCTCTGATGTACTAGGTCTTGAAAAGAACAATGTTATCTTTCATTGACAATTTTAAAGTAAATTTGGATATTTAGTTCCATTTCTTCCGTTAATAAGATATCACCAGTTGATGACTGATAGAATATCCATACATAGGGCCCTTCCGTCTCGAAGTTTATTGGTTGGAAATATTCATGTGCTCTTCAACCCAAATCGTGGAGATATTAAGCTGGGCCAGGTATTGATTTTTCTAACTTATCAAAATTGGTTTGGCATATTACTTCACTGCTGATAGGAGATGAATGAATTTATAGTGGCTCTAAGACATTAGTTTGTGTGTTACTCTCTCTCTCTCTCTCCACATGTATTTGTTTGTGCTGTTGTTGCAGTATGCTGTGATAGCTTATGAGATTTTGGCTTGAACACCTTGGTTCTCTCTCTCCATCTCCCTTTGTGTATATGTGTGTTTTATCCTTCGAATTGTGGCTTTGTATACTCTTGTAATAAAGTTAAATTAAAGGTGTTAAATAATAAGGAATGTGAACTTCAAGGATATGTTTGATATTGTTTGTGAATAAATTATTTAGATGTTAAAGGGAAAACCTATGATGGTTAAGTTCACCTGAAAGCTCTAAATGAGGAAGTATTTTCATGATTGCAATGTAATGATATTCTGGTTTTGGTTATATATAACAATGGAACATAAATGTTGTAGATTCGACTGTTTCTTAAGAAGGCCCATAAACTATCACAAGAATGGGGCAACATTCCTGTCATACTTGCTGGGGACCTTAATAGCATGCCACAGGTGATTCATTCATGTGTGATTGTCAATTTAGTAGTTTCTTATAAAAAACACAGTTTTAGTTTTACTGCCCCACTGTGTACTAAAAAGATTTCTGTTCATGTCATGTTCAGAGTGCAATGTATCAGTTCCTGGCTTCATCCGAGGTGAGTTTTGGTTCCTCGCCTTCTGTCAAGCCCGTATGCACCATCTAATGAGCATTCTCTTGAAATTTGTATGCTATTCAAAAATACCTATCTATATAACTTTCCATGGTGGAGTTCTCGACTTGAAAATAAATTTGTTGCAGTTGGACCTCCAACTACATGACCGAAGAAGAATATCTGGGCAAATATGTCCATTAGAGTATCAAGCATTCCATTCTCGAAATAATTATGCCGCCAGGTTGGTGTCAAAGTTCCTTGCAAATTTCCTTGATCTTGTTTATTCTGAAGTGTGTTTTAGGATGTCACATGGAAGTGAAATGGTTCGCTCTTTCAGTTTGCATTGCATTTTTGAGTCGATTTAAACATTTCAACAGGTTCTTCATTGGAATCAGCAAAATTGATGAAGAAAATGGAAATCAGGTTCTTCATTGGAAAAAAAAAAACAAACAAACAAACCAAGAATACTTTTCCTTGCTGAATGCCATGAACAAAAGAATGTTCTGATTTTATTTCCTTCTTGTTTCCCTACTGTTGCTATACCATACATAAGTTGACTAGTCTATATTTGATATGTGCTGTATTTATTAATTAATTTTTGTATACGTGGTGTTGCTTTTCAAATTCTGTCCCAAGGCCACTAAAGAATAGATGGAGCAATGAAGAATTAATGCTTGCTACTGGGACTGGAGGAGTAACTCATCTTCGACACAATTTAAAACTCTGCAGTGCATACCTTGGAGTTCATGTAAGATTTCTGAGTCATAGTTATATTTCCTTGCATGCCTCCGGGTTTTTTTTTCTCCCTAGTTTGACACGAATTTACTTAATTAGCTTGTCATAGGAATTGAATTTGCATGTATTTTAACTAGGATAAGAAAATGTGTTGGCGGGTAATTGTCGGTCTCACACAATGTTGTCCCATTCGCTCAGGGAAGCTGTAGAACTAGAGATAACTACGGGGAGCCCTTGGCAACGTCTTATCACTCCAAGTTCATGGGGACTGTTGATTACATATGGTATTTCTATTAGAAAAAGAAGAATATTGATTATTTGCATTACAAAATTCCGTTTCACTGATCACTCCAAGTTCATGGGAACAGTTGATTACATATGGTATTTCTATTAGAAAAAGAAGAATATTGATTATTTGCATTACAAAATTCCGTTTCACTGATTTCATTGATGATTGTGAAGGCATACTCGGGAGCTTGTACCTGTGAGAGTTCTTGAAACCTTACCTGTTGACATTCTAAGAAAAACAGGTGGACTCCCAAGTAAGGTAAGGTTTCATTTCTTTAAATATAAACATCATTCATGCAGAGTATGAAACTGTTGACCACTTGCATGCATCCAATTTTTGGGAAACTGTTGGACCAATTTTCCATCAGAGTATGAAAGGCAGCCTAAAATATTGTTATTCATATAATTGAATTTTGTTTAATATTTTCACAGCTTATTTCTTTCAAATTGATTGTGGATCTAATTATCTGTATTTAGTTTGGGATACATCTTTTAAGAAACCTATTGTCAGTCTTTGTTTTTTGAAGTTATTTTCACTTGTGCAAACATGTTAGGCTCAACCCATGATGCCTTTCTGATCTCTTTTTTAAATTCGTCCTTTTAATGTATAAAATCTAAATTTCCATTGCAGAATTGGGGCAGCGATCATCTTGCCCTTGTATGCGAACTGGCTTTCGTGGATGACAGCAATGAGAGATGAGTCCCAGGTCTCCACCAGTCGTCGGTATTCAGAGCTCCTAACAGTATGTGGAAGCAGTTTGTGTATATTTATCAGTGTTTCCTGAACTGGGTCACTCATGTATATTTAAATCATAGGGATAATAATAGCAATAGAAAATTAGTTTCTTTTTTGTTAATTATAGGACAAACATTCAAGTTGAAAACCTCTATTTTATTTCAATTGGGAGCACAAATTGTGCTGTTCTTGAATCTTGAGGCAAGCATCTAGATTCTCACTCTATGAGTTAGATGTACATTTCATAAACTTAACTACGAAATTCTGTATGATAATTTTTTTTTTATTATTATTATTAATTTTTTTTATTTTTATTTTTCAAATTTGGAGAAATTAGGTTATTTATTACATGAAATGAAATGAAGATTCTACTTATGACCATTCCACTTTATTTGGTATGTTTATTATTATTTTGTAGCTGACATGCTTGGATTCATGAATTTATTTTACATATTGGAGCACTGATGTGAGGCACGGATAAGGTAAGATTTAAGTCCTTATTCTTTCGATTCTGATTTTCTTAATTAGAGAAAGAATGGGGATTTATCAGATTAGACTGAATAATTGTCACTTTTATAGATATTCTATGTTAAATATTTAAATTTTCAAATTTAAAAAATCCCTTCTTTTTTTCTTCTCAGAACAAAGAATTGTTGGAGTTTATCATTTCTATCTAGTACCAAGACGCTGATGTTAAGAAAAGATCTCTTGTAGGAAGGTTGGCAAGAAATAGCCTGTGAGACGTACTTTGATTTAGTTTATTCATGAATTTATTCAATTATGTTTGATAACATAGATGAGTTATCATAAATAATTTTTACATAGTAGAACACAGATGTGAGATGTGGGAGGCCCAACCCTTTTATGGGCTCAAGGTAAAATTTTAAATTGAGACCTTTCGGCTATGTTTGGTTGTATTTTTTAAACATATTTCTACCTTTTTATTTGTGTTTGACGTTTGTTTATAATTTTTAAAAGTTAATTCTACATTCAATTCTGAAAACTTTATCTGAAGCGGGTAAATTTGGGTTAATCGGACGTACCAGCGGTCGTTCGGCCGGTTAACCAGAACAGTATGTTTTTTTTTTTTTTGCTATTTACACATGTTAATTTTTATATATTCAATAAAAAATATTTTCTGAATTTTTTAAAAAATTTTATGAGTTTTGAATAGAATTTTGAGTTGTGTGTTTGGTTAAGAGTTGTACGTTTTTGTATCAAATATCATATGTCACATCAAAATTTCTTACTCAATTCAAAAAAAAATTCAAAACTCTTTTTAATACTCATTCACCAAACAAATTTTTCGCACTCAAATCATAATTTCAAAATTTACAAATTTAAAATACAATTCCTATTTTCAAGTTATATTTAAAAAACTTTACCAAATACTACTTTTGTTTCTTAAATATTAACAATAATTTTTTAAAATATTATATTTTGTTTCATTTGAACTTCTTAATTTTTATTTTTTATTTTTTGCTTTTTTGTGTTGCAAAATTACTAATTAATCTTTTTTAAAATTTCTAATGTATTTTTTTAATTCATAAATTGAGAGACATTTATAAAGTATTCTCACAATCTCCTTTATTTATTTTTGATGTGAGATTCTATTACATTTCACAAAATTGAACAGTGATACGTAATTGTTTTAGTTTCTCAACTAATAAAATTGAAGGATTTTGTTTGATGATAAATTTTCTTTAACCCTGATCGAATCCCTAATGGAGAGGGGGAAAAGATAAAAAAAGAAAAAGAAAAGTGTATTTTGAAAAGATAGTTAAAAGTTAATTTTTTTTAACTTTTTTATGTAAGAGATAATGTGATAAAAAATAAATTAAAAATTAATTTTTAACTTTTAACTCATGTTTCTAAGTGGCCCACAATAGGTAAAGAAAAAGAAATGTAATTTAAAATGGATCTTCAGTGTAATTTCATTACCACCTTAACCGTAGAAGGATGCACACACACGCACAAACAAAAGTAAATAAATTAATTATGGGTATTCAAGACAAATGGGGCTTAAGGCTACTGCCTCAATCGCCTTTGGGTAACGCTTAAGGCTAGCCTCGAAGACAAAAGGTGAGTCTTACATACGGTATACTTCATATGTAAAAAATGTTTTGTCTCACATTTGTCTTATTTTGTGAAAATATATATATATATATATATGTAAGTCTATTTTTGGATCTATTTTTTAGGTTTAATGATGTATAAGTAATATAATTAGTTGATAATTGATAAGATAGGAGAGAGAAAATGTTACCTTAAATATCTTAATAGATTGCTACATCATTGAGTTTGAAAATTAGGTCTAATTGTGTTGGATTTGTATAACAATGCTTGAGTGAAAATCTTATGTATTCGTAGCATAAATGTTTATTTTGGATAAACAGGGCCGACTTTGTGGACAAGCCGATCAAATGGTCACTTTGGACCCCCCAAAGATTGGTTAAAAAGAAGGCTCTCATGGGGAAGGTGGTTTGGAAATACTCTTCGGATCCCGGAGAACGCTCGTGATCCTCTGCTATTAACCTGAAAAAGAATGAACACTCCGGTCGAGGGTGCCGGAATTAGCACTCCGACAGATATGTCAGTGTATGCTCTCTAAGTTACGTGTGTCTTAAGTTAAGCGCACTAATTCTTATATACCTCTCTCTGAAGAATGTTCTTCTACTTATATCTTTTTCTTTCTTGGGCTTCGGGACTGGGCCCTTCTTCAATTCATCGTATAACTATTTGCTCGGCTCCTCTTGCTGCGCATCGCTCTTCATTCGGCCCTTTACTCAACTGGCTATTTGGCCGAATAGGATACTTTTAGATTTGCATGTATAAGACGGGGCCGAATGCGATATACGAATTTCGACTCTCCCGGTCCGACTATTCGGCTCCTTTACGTGTCCTAATATTCGGCCCCCACAATTGCTTCCTAAACACTCCACTAACGACAATTAGCTGGTGTGTTTGGTTTCGAACTCGAAAAGCTAGAGCCGAAATTCGGCGGCTAGCCTCATTTCAAAGCGAATGTCAGAGCACACGCCTTTTGGTTGTCATTTCAACTTCCCGCCCCTTCGTACACTTCTATTTATTATGATTTAAAATTTCGACGTCTTTTCAAATACCTATACATTTTTAGGTGCTTGAAGTCGTTGGACTACCTTTCGACTTACCTCTGCAACTTCTTTTTACCCTTTACTATCCTCTTCGTCTCTTGTAAGTTCTCTCTCTCTCTCTCTGCTTTGAATCTTTTTTGCTAATTTGTTTTTGGTTTAGCATACTCCTATAAGCTGAAGAGAATGGCAAAACATTTGAAAGATCTCCTCTCCGCGGATCGAATTTCTAGCTTTCGACGCCATTTTTCAATCCCTGATGACGTCCGTCTGTCACTCGTGACAGATGGCACCCTCGATATGGAGAGGGCTGATGAAAGCACAATCGTCTTCCCTCTCCTATCAATCGTAGAGGGTGGAGTCCGTTGCCCCCTTCATCCATTCCTTAAGGCTGTCCTTCGCCATTGGGGTTAATCCCTTCCCAACCCAATGTCAACTTTTTTAGAATTATAATGGAGATTATAGAGTTAAACCGTCGCCTTAGGATTAACCTCGGCATACCTGTTATTCGGCATTGTTATGCCTTGGCCAAGTCTTCTGGCTGGCATGGGCGCTATTTCCTCAGGGCCAAGGACATCGACCATCAATTAGTGACCATGCTTTCCAGCTCTAGCAAGCGAGTCGATGATGTCATGGTCGTTGTCCGAGGTAACTGGGAATTCGGTGAAGGCGAGGACCGCTTAGATCCTATCCCTAGACGGAGGGGCGAACCAGGTGGCCATATAGCCCTTTGTACTTATTTTTGTTGTATATACAAGACTTTGTCTTTTCGGTCTCATGGTTTGGTTTGTGCAGGAAACGATTTGAAGAAAGTCTTGACTTCGACCGACGACGCCGTTCTTACGAAGATCAAAGTCGCGCTAAAATACTTCGGCCGTCCAAGCCTTCAGAAACAAGGGAGGGCGGCCCACATTCTTCTTCGATACGAGCCGATATACACGACGTTCTTGGCATCAGAAAACATCTCGATTCCGAGGGGTGAAGAGTTTCTTACGGCTCTTATTTTAACCAACTTCAAAAACTTGCGTCAAATTGGTTTCGACGGATTCGACTCGGAGCGTGCGAAAGTCGCTGAGGTCGCTGAAGAATCAGGCCAGTCCGAGGCCGAAGTAGACAAGGCTTTAAAGGTAACCTTTGAGGAAGTCGGTCTCAATTCAGCCAACCCTCTGTCCACCTCAGGCTGAGGGGACGTTTACGATGACATCTTTATTGGATTAGAAGACCTTCCCGGCGCGTACCCTAAAGACATGGTCGGGTTGTCACTCACACAACTCACCAAAAAGAAAAACGCCGAACGAATGGCCGCGCGGCGGAGAGCAGAGGTCAATCAAGCAGAGGCCATTCGATTCGAAGTGCCACCCGTCGCCGATGTTGAGCCCTCCCTGCCTGTTATCAAGGAGGAGACGGCTCAAATCCGAAATGCCAAGTCGGAGCCGGTCATGCCGGCGAATCAGGAGGCTAAACGAAGGGCGGAAAAACGTCCTGTCGAGGTCGAGGCCGGTTCTGAAGAAAACCCTGCTGACAAACGATCGTGTTTAGAGAAGTCGGATACGGTTGTGCCTTTTGTGGTTCAACCAAAGATAAAAAACATGCCAATCTCCTCTGATGCGCCGGCTATGAAAGATCCAGCCATGGCGCTGAGCATGGCTTCGCTGGTCTCATTGCCGTCTGACAAGGCAGCTTTCCACTCGGAGCCGAATCTTTTGGCAATAGCGTTAGCCGCTCAATCGGCTCTTCTGGTAAATATCTTGATCTTGCCTTTCTTTTTTATGCATATATTTTGGTTTTAATCTCCTGTTTTGCAAACGGTCAGAAGGATAGCTGAGATAGGCTGTCGCCAGCACGATGCCAACGAACAAATTGGCCATTTACAGTATAAAGTTGAGGGCCAAAGGAGCCGAGCCGAGTTCGAAGCAGGGACGGGGCTGAGGGCAAGATGGAAAGGGCAAGAAATGCAGACCAGCTCAGATTGGCTGCCGAGAAGAGGACGAACGCGAGCGAAGCTACGCTCAAGTTAGCCCAAGAGGCGATCGCTAAACTTGAGGCGGACTTGAAAGAATCGAAGGCGGCGAAGGAAGTAGCCGACTCTGAGGCTTCCAAGGCGTACGAGGTTGGGCAAAGCGCTGCCCTCGCAAATTATGTGGAAGAAGTCCCCAAATTCGAGAATCGGGGATTCAAACATGGCTGGCTCAAAGCC